AACTGTCAGCACAGAGCCTGACGTGGGGCTCAAACCCACCAACCGTGAGATCATGACCTGTGCCGAAGTTGGACGCTTAAACCGACTGAGCCACCCAGGCACCCCCAAAAAGATTTTTTTACGTAGTCCCTATGCCCAACATGGGGCTTGAACTCCCAACCCCGAGATCAAGAGTCACATGCTCCAACTGAGCATGTGGCATTGGACTCTTCTCTTAGTATTGGGCTTGTGAAGGAAGACTGGCTGGTGCTGTTGGATGGCTTAAAGATACATTTAATTTTTGTTAGTCCTGAAAGTCTTGTATGTTCATCATGGGAAACCTGAAGAATTCAGAAAAGTAGAAGAAACCTAGCCTGGTCTCATGATCCACACACAACCATTTTAGCCAGTTGGTGTATTTCCTCCAAGTCCGTTCATGTATATTTTGCCCTTTTTTTGTGGGGGAAGGGAGCATCGCGCCGACCACACACTGTTCAGCTGTGCGTCCTCCCCTTTCCTGCTGCACCTTCTAAGCCTATAAATACAATATCTTAATATGGTGTTAAATATTGACATATTTAAATACATGTTAAATAATATCAAATGTTAAATACATACTAAACATTTAATATTGATATGTATTCGTACGTGTAATTCAGTGTTAAAATACTGAATAAAAATACTTCAAAACTAATTTTAATGCCTATAAAATACTCCGTCATATGCCAGTACATCACACTTTACTTTTCTTTTTTGAGAGAGAGAGAGAGCAGAGGAGGGACAGAGGCAGAGGGAGAGAGAGTCTTTTTTTTTTTTTTTTAATTTTTTAACGTTTATTCATTTTTGAGACAGAGACAGAGCATGAACAGGGGAGGGGCAGAGAGAGAGGGAGACACAGAATCCGAAACAGGCTCCAGGCTCCGAGCAGTCAGCACAGAGCCCGACGCAGGGCTCGAACCCACGGACCATGAGATCATGACCTGAGCCAAAGTCGGACGCCCAACCGACCAAGCCACCCAGGCGCCCCGAGAGAGTCTTAAGCAGGGTCCGCAGTGCTGTCGGCACAGAGCCTGATGCGGGGCTCCGTTTCATGAACGTGAAATCATGACCTGAGCTGAAATCAAGAGTCGATGCTTAACTGACTGAGCCACCCAGATGCCCCATCACACTTTCCTTAATCTGCTCAGTTGTTTACCCTTTACCTTATCTTTCTTACCTCTCTCTCAGTTTCTTAGTTTGTGTATGTGTGTGTGTGTGTGTGTTTGATATGCCATCATAAGTCCTTTTTGGAGAAGACAATATAGTATATGAGAAGTTTTATTTTCTTTATTTCTTACATAAGAAGTTTTAAAGTCACTCCCTCAGCTTTGTGCAGAGACAGTATCATAGTGAGCTTTGACCAAGGCACAATTATTTCTGGCTAAAATCACTCTCTGAAAGCTAAATAATTATGGCTCTTTTTAATTTGTCACTATTACAATAGCACTTGGATGAACATCGTTCTGCATAATTTTTTTATATTTGAGATTTCATTAGGGTTAATATCTAGGTTTGGGATTACTGCATCAGAAGAGTGTATAGATATTTTAAAGTTTCTTGGAATTTATTGCCCCACTACTTTTCTGAAAGGCTCTTCAATTTATACCGTTATTAGCAAGAAGGAAATTGCATGTCTCAATATATCCTTCCAGCAGTAGATATATTTTTAATGATCAAAAATTTGCTAGATAGGAAATGGCATCTGTTAATTGACTTGGAACGTCTGTCTCTTGAGTTCACACCCCAGCACTGTGGGTGGAGGAATGTCCATCAAATACTGTATCTGATTTTTGTCTTGCAGCTGACTTTGGTGTGTCTGCCAAGAATCTGAAAACTCTGCAGAAACGAGATTCCTTCATAGGAACGCCTTACTGGTGAGTTGTGCAGTTTCTGGAAAGGGAATGGTAGACTGAAGGCTCAACCTCAGACTCCCCAAGGTGACCTCTGGCCGCGTCAAGGGCTCCTGAGTCAGCCTGCTGGGTCTGAGCCTGGTCTCCACCACTCACGAGTGCTGTGACGTTGGCCAAGTTGCTTAGCTTCCTTGTCCCTCCGTTTCCTCCTCTATGAAATCAGGGATAGAACAGCACCTACTTCACAGGTTGTTGAGAGGATGAAATGCGATGATGCGTATAGAAAATACTCCATTAGGGACACTTCAACGGGAACCCCTAGAAAATGGTTTAATTCTTTTTTTTTTTTTTAAGTTTATTTATTTTGAGAGAGAGAGAAAGCGCATGTGTGAGGGGGGGAGTGGCAGAGAGAGAGGAGAGAGAGAATTCCAAGCAGGCTCTGCGTGCTGTCAGCACAAAGCTCGATGTGGGGCTCGAACCCATGAACTGTGAGATCATGACCTTAGTTGAAATCAAGAGTGGGGTGCTTAACTGACTGAGCCACCCAGATGCCCTGAAAATGGTTTAATTCTTAATTAATTCAACAAGTACAGATTGAATGTGAGGCCCTGGGCTGGGACTGTGAGGATGAACAAGTTCAATTCCTACCCTCCTGTGAAGTTTCTCTGGGCTTCTCTAGGCCATTGTGTTTCCTTCTTTCCCCAAACTATTACTTAAAAAAAAAAAAAAAAGGCAACAAAATAAAAAAAACCAAACCAAACAAAAAACCTCTCTCAGTTTCACACCTAACTGCTTTCTGTTTTTCATGTGCATTACTTCTCATTGTGGAGTTAGGCTCCTTTCTTGCTTGCTTATTACTCACCCTTTCTTTCTCTCTCTCTGCCCTTCATTCCTCTTTCTCCTGTTATCTCCCATCCGTTCTGTCTGTGCTGGTGTATTCTTTCCACACCCCCCACCTTGTGCCCCCAGTTTTTTCTGGGCACCTTCCCCTCTGCCTCTACCCACCCCTTCCCCAGGACTCTGTGTTCTGGATTGTTGCTGCCATCTTGTGGTAGGCTTCGGGAACTGCAGCGGGACATGGCGTTGGAGCTCCTTGAAGGCACCTTACTGAGTGAAGACCATCGTAAGGAAGACAGTGGGATGGACAGCAATGCAAATCGTGATTCAGGAGTGCTGCCAGCTCTCTGACACTGGCTTGTGGTGGTCCTGACCCCGAGTCTCTGAGAAGGGCCTATGAAGGCCAGGTTCTTAGCCCTGTGTTATCCCTTGGTTGGTTCAGGATGGCCCCCGAGGTGGTGATGTGTGAGACCATGAAGGACACCCCGTATGACTACAAAGCTGACATCTGGTCCCTGGGCATCACTCTGATTGAGATGGCCCAGATCGAACCCCCGCACCATGAGCTCAACCCCATGCGGGTCCTGCTCAAGATTGCCAAGTCGGATCCCCCCACTCTGCTCACGCCTTCTAAGTGGTAAGGAGCAAGGCCTGCCTGCCTGAGGGTGTTTGTTCCATGGCCAGCAGCCCTGGGTCACAGGGCAGGTGGGATTGGGTGGGTGGAGTGCCCAGAGTGGGGGAGCAGTCGGGGCCTGGAGGTCTCTGGGCCTTTCTGAGCTACCCGGGCCCTCCACGTGCTCTGGACATGGGTTGTCCATCAAAGCAGACTGGGTGATCCCATAAGCCGGATCCCGCTGTGGGAGTAAGTGCCTAAATGAGCCCCAGCAGCCACATGGCACGACCCTGGGCTGGGAACCGAGGCTCGGGCATAAGTCTCTGCACTTCTGTGTATTACCGTGTGGCCTTGGGCAAGTCCCTGCTCTCTGATTTCCACATCCCGTCTGTACGGTGATGTTCACAATGAAAAGGTCATCGTGAAAACCCCGTAGACTTCACCGCTTTAGCTCATGAAGGCGCCTTTGTCTTTGAGGGCTGTGTTTGGGAAGCACACAACTCCCAGGAGAGTAGAGTGTGCGACGGGGAGAATTTTCTCAGTTTCTGCCCTACTTGGAGCTGACTGCTGCCACCGTTGGGCGCCCCCTACCCCCACCCCCCCAGGTCTGTGGAGTTCCGAGACTTCCTGAAGGTGGCCCTAGATAAGAACCCAGAGACCCGGCCCAATGCTGCGCAGCTTCTGGAGGTAAGCGGTGCCCCTCTCCCGGGGGTGGCGGCCTGCCCCCTCTGCCCTGCCCTTGCTTTGGAGGCAGGAGATGGCCTGGAAGCTGGGTGTGTTTCTCCTCAGCTCGGGTGACCACAGGAGCAACCATTTATTCATCTGCTGATTCTCACTGGGCGCCTCCTGAGTGCCTGCTCTTGTCCTGGGAGGGCTGTCGTGTGGAGGCTCCCACAGAGCCTGTCCTCAAACAGCTTATGTTCTACTGGGGGAGACAGGCCGCAGACAGTGGGTAGGTGCACATGAAGGGGGGGAGAAAAATAAAACAGCTCAGGAAGAGGGGGGCCTGGGAGGGTTTGCTCCCCGATAAAAGGAGGGCATGGAGGGGCTCTGTGTGAACAGGCACCCAGGGTGGGGGAGGGGACTAGGTAAGTGGTCCTGGGGAGTGGAGGCAAAGGCCTGGCCTGTGAGCATGGCTGGGAAGGGCTAGGAGGCCAAGGCACCGAGCCAGGGGTGAGGGCAGAGATCAGAGAGGCGTGTGGTCTGTCCACCTGAAGTTTGGATGGTTTGCCGAGAGGGTACCCGTACCGCCACGGCGTGCTCACTACTCTGATGCTTTGCAGCAGGACACAGACCCCAGAAGGAAGGCAGGTGCTCAGCGTGAACCATACCGTCTGTGCAAACAGTTTAGGCAGAGCGAGCCACTCCTGTCCCTTCACGGTGGACCCCTCCCCAAACCCAAGTTTCCAGCGGCTTGCTAAGGGCCGGTGGCGGAAGCAGGCCCTTCAAAGGGGGGCAGGCTCGCTCTTTTCTGCATGAAGGGCCATGTCGCACAGGGTCACGCGGGGTCCAGGACTTGAGCTTTACCCTGTGTGCAGTGGGGCGCCCCTGAGGATTTGGACTGGGGAGACGGCATCTGACTTATACTTACAAGGGCCCCTCTGGCTGCCATGTGAGGAACCTCCGGCCTTAGCATGGGGAAGGTGACGGTGGTTTCCTAGAAGCTTTTCGAAATATTGGGGGCAGCTGGGAGCTGCTCTTTGCCTGGGCTAGTGCCTTGTGTTTTGACAGTGGCACATATCACCTGCCCAGCCATCCTCAGGTGGGCCAGTTGCTGTCCCCATGCCATCAACGCTGATGGGAGATGGAGAGACAGTGGCCTGGGTGCTGGGGAGGGGCTGCTTCTCCACACCCTGTCCCCTCTGGTTCTTCCGCGTGTGTGACCCAGCCTCTGATGTGTGCTGGGGGGGGAGGGACCAAGAGGCCACACCAAGCACCGAGGCTTTGTTCACAATCGGCCACTCTCCCTGCGTACCTGCCGTGTGCCAGACACTGGGCCCCCGGTCGACATGCTGGGCTACAGCGCATCCCTCTGGGGTGTGCAGCACAGCGATTAAGTGTGTGGACTGTGGTTGTAAGGTCCTGGGTTCAAATCCCAGCTCTGCCACTTACTGGCAGTAAGACCCTAGGAAATTGGCTTCACTTATCTGTGACCCTGTTCTTGCTCTGAAATGGGATAATAGCAGTGTCCCCCTTAACCAGGTAGCTGTGAGGGTTAAGTATGAAGATACGGTCAAGTGCTTAGCTAAGGGCCAGCTTGCTGAGTGATGCATTGAATTCCAATCTCTGGAGTATCCTGAGGCCTCATTTTCTGGGTATTGTGTGCTGGTTGGTGGAGAAGCCAGAGGTGGGGGAGGGGGGGGCGGGGGCGTAGCCGTTGGGGCCGATTGTTTCCTGTAAGCAGAGCCTCCTGGCCTGATAACATCCGGCCTCTAGGACAGTCAGGACATTCCACGGAGAAGAGACCAGCTGTCCTCCGTTCCCACATGGCAGCCCTAAAGCCTCAGCCTGAGCCAGGAATTTTTACTCTGTAGTTAGAAAAAATGTCCTGCCAGGGGATCTTCAGCGTGAGACAGAAAGGGTTGCAGAAGAAAGGAGAGATCCCTTGAGATCAATAAAACCTGGCTTAGGCCACCGTCAGCCTTTTCCACGTGCCGCTTTATCTCTGGGTGTGGGAGGGTAGACCGTGACTTGCTGAGGTCACCCGGCTTTGAGTGACAGGTAGACCTCAGGTCTCGGCTTCCCAGTGCCCCCCCTGCAGAGCCGCTCATGCCCCTTGTATCTGCCTGCTTCTGGGAGGTTCCTCCCCGCCCCTCAGTCTCCCCACCCCGACCCCCTGTTCTGCCTTGAGCTCACGTTGGTTTCCGATTCACTTGCTCCCTTGCACAGAGATTCTTTGGGACCGTGTCCCGTGGTGATTAGTAACCCAGGCTCTGACCACCCAGCACGTGAGTGGCGCTCGCTCTGTGCCTCAGTTTCCTCGTCTGTGAGATGTGGATAGCGCTCACTTAACGGAATTGTGTGAGTGAATGAGATTCTTTACGTACTGTTTTTAGCATCGTGGCCGGCACATCAGGTGCTCAGTGTATACTCGTTGAGTTTGTTGTCGCTCTCGTCAGCAGCATCAGTGACGTTTACGTTGTCGGATGCGGTGGTGGACTCCGGCCTCAGTGCTCGCCCCTGGGGACCCGGCCGCCGTGGCCACAGCCGATGCTCATCCTCACCCTTGCCAGCGCTTGGCTTCCGGGTCCCCACACCTTCTCGCCCGTCACTCCTCCTCCATGCCCTTCACCGGCTCCTCTTCCCTGTGACTGCTCACCGTGGAAGCGCATCAGGGCCTCGTCCCCCGCCTCCACTCACCTCGAGGGTCCCACCCCAGTTACAGCGATGGCCATGCTTTCCCCTGTAGCCCACGCAGCCCCACCTGCCCCACGTCTGCGCCCAGCCGTTTACGCTCCACCGCCACGCGGACATCCACACCCGCGTGCCCTCCGCTTCCACCGGTGGCCGTCCTGTCTCAGTCCGTGGCAACCCGTCCCCTCAGCCGTCAGGCCCCAGACCATACCTTACTTTCTTGCATGCTCCATGTCCGTTTGGTCAGGAAGTCCCGTGGTCCCTGCCTTCAAAACATGTCCAGAATCCGATCACTTCTCACGTCTTCCATTGCAGCCACGGGTCTGAGCTGCCATCAGTGTCTCTCGCTTGGATGATTGCTTCTTCACCGGTCTCTCTGCCCTCCTTCAGTCTGTTCTCAGCGCAGCAGCCAGAGGGAAACCTCCCGTCCCTCCCTCGTTGGCTCCCCTCTCGCTCAGGCTATCACCCAGAGTCTCGGTGTCCTGCAGGGACCTGCATGATCTACCCACCCCATCTTGACCCCTTAGACCTTCTGCCTTCTTCTGGCCCCCTCACTCACTGCCAGCCTCTCTGGCCTTCTTGCTGTATTTCAGACACTCCAGGCATACAACTACCTCAGGGCCTTTGCACAGCTCTTCACACTGCCTGTAATGTGTTTTCCTGACACTTCCAGGGATGACTCTCCTTTTTAAGGTATTGTCTCAGATGCTGGCTTCTCAGTGAGGCTTCCACCAACTATCCTATTTCAAACTGCAAACCTGCCACCCCACCCCCCACATATTCCTAATTCTCCTTTCCCTCGCCCTACTGTTGATTTTTTTCCATGGCTTACTTGTTTATTAAGTGTATTGTTAATCTCCCTGACCAGCATGTCAGCTCTCGGAGGACAGCAGTCTGTTTTGTTCACTGGTCTGTCCCAAGCATCCAGGACAGTGTCTGATATATGGAGGGCCCTCAGCAAGTATTCATTAAGTATAGTTACTTATTTTTACTTAACAAACTGTTGTGTAACCCTTTGTCCATGCCAGGTACTATTCTAAATGTTTAGCAAATGTTAACCAATTTAATCCTTGTGACAACCCTATGAAGTAGGAACTGTTCAGATTTCCATCAAACAGATGATAAAACTGAAGCACAGAGAGGTTAGGTTAGCCGGCACAGAGTCACACAGCTTATAAAAGACAGAGCTGGGATATCGATCCTGGTTGTCTCCTTCCAAAGCCTGTTCTCTTGACCACTCTGGTAAGCCTCCTCTCCGAATGAACAAAGGAGAGAAAGAAGGAACAAAGAGAACAAGAATGAGAGAAAAGGTTAGCCGGGGGTGAATTGAACAGATGCTGACAACTGAAACCTGGAAAGGGGTATCTGGTGTTGTCTAAAGCCAGCCTCAGCATGTAGGACCCCTGGCAGGTGCTTTCTCAGTACACAGAGGAAAGCTAGGCTCCTGCTCTTGGAAAGAATGTCTGTGTAGGTGGCAGAAGGGCTCCTGGCCAGGGGGGGAAGGTGCCGGTTGGCCAGCTGTGTGGCATCGTGGGGCACCCTGCAGAAATGCCACTGAACAGCTGTGCCTCTTCCCCAAGGAGTAGACGGCCGAGCTCCCCTCCGATGTGGGCCTCCTGCAGGGGTGCCTGAGCACCTTTCCGGTGACCCGTGTACCCGGACTGGCCTGTCCCCATGCTGGCACACACCGTGCTTCCCGCCTGGGAAGGCCCCAGCCCTCCTTGCAGGGCTTCTGTCTCTCTGCTGGGCCTCGACAGTTTGGGTTTGGGTGTTGTCCTTTTTAGACACATCCCTGGAGGTAGTCGAGCTGAGGCAGTGCGGGAGGTTGTCTCTGCTTTTTCTCTGCCAGGGCTGTTTACACAGCAGTGTTCTGGGCCTAATCAGCCACTGGAGGGTCTGCCCTGTCAGCCCCACTTGCCTGGGGGTTCCGGGGTTGGCATCCAGGGCAACTGCCCAGCTCACCCGCACCTCTGTCAGAGGGGCTTTCTTCCCCATGGCTTCCGCCTCTGCTTCCTAAGGACCCTGGGGTGCTCGTGGGAGGCAGTGGGGCAGATTGTCCTGCCTCAAGAAAGACTCCTGGCCATGCTGAAAAGCCACTGATTTGGTCAGTATGTAGTGTGCCTTGATGAAAACCTGGTATTTCCAGAAGCCTGTGCCTGCATTCTTTGCCTCTGCCACATCTGCTTCAGCAACTGCAGGGAAGTGTCCTGTGGCTTCCTGCTCAAATTCATGCGTGAGGTTGTGCAGTGTGAGGCTCGGGAACCTTTGGGAACTGATTCTCACCCTCCGTCCCAAAAGCTGTGCCCTGTGGGGATGCAGGAGGGAATAGGGTTGGCTGGGGGTGCAAACTGAGCCATGAAGGCTTCTCCAGCTATGCTGCTGCTGGTGGTGACGGTGGTCGTGGTGGTGACAGTGGCAGCGATGGTGACGGCAAATGGTGTTGGAGGCGATAACAACGATGTGGATATAGCTGCCATACTTGGAGCACTTCCTGTAATGCTTCGCACAACCATACCGTTATTCCCAGTATACAGATGAGCACACTGAGGCTTAGAGAGGTTAAGCGACTTGCCCAAGGTGGGGGTGGAAGCAGGATTTCATCCCAGGCACCCTGGCTGCAGAATGTAAAGCCAGTACTCTAACCACTACACTCTCCTGCCTCGCATGATTAGTAAGCCCTTTTGGAACCACACTCAAGACCTTTTGGAACCACACAGCAGCCAGACTGCTCCCTTTAAGGGGTGAGTGTTAATACCACTGCTCTGCTGCGCCCTCCAGCAGCTTCCGAGAAGAAAGTCTCAGTTTCTCACTACGGCTGGGGGGACCCTGCATACACCACCCTGCCCTTCCTCCTCCGGCCCCTCCTCTCTCCTCTCCCCAAAGCCCTGCCTCCTCGGACTTCTAGCCGTGCCTCCAGCACACAAGCTCAGTCCTGCCCCAGGGCCCTCGCGCTCTGCTGCTCCCCCTGCCTGGAATTCTCCGTGCCCAGATCTTTCCTTGGCCAGCCCCTTCACCTCCCTCAGGTCTCAGCTCAAATATCACCTCCTCTTGGAGGCCCCGCTGACCGCAGACTAAGTAGCCTCCACCGCCCAGCCCAGGCCCACGCGGTTCCAGCCTCTTGCTGTCCCATTACCTGATCTGACGTGATTCTGTTTGTGGGTTGGCCACGCGTCTGTTGTCTCTCCCCCTCAGCTGCAAGCCCGTAGGGGCAAGGACCTTGCCTATCCTGTTGTTGAGCCTTATCTCAGATCTCAGCACGTGGCACAGCATGTGGCTGTGGCAGGAATCAGATAGTCAATGGGAGCATGGGAGAGAAAGGAAAGAGATGAAATACTTAAAATCTTTACTAGTTTGGACTAGAGAAAGCCCGGCTGGTTCAGGGCTCTTTAAAAGGAGTGAGGTTTGGTGCTTTTCACATGTGCAGAGTTAGGTGACCAAGTGGAATGGGGTGGTGCCTCGTGAGCCTCCACAAATGAACTGTTGTAAACGAACAAGCAGATAAAAATGATTTGTAATGGACCTATCAGTTGTGAATGTGTTTACAGGGTGCTAGAAAATTTATTCTTCGTCATTTACATACTTCCCTGCAATCTCGTTGACACTGTTCCTCCGCTGATAAATTTTCTGACCGTAAAGGTGGCAGATGTCATCAGAGCCTTCCTCTACATTTCAAATGAGCAAACTCCAATTTAATGACTGTCCCCCCCCCCCCCCCCCCCCCCCCCCCCCCGCCCGCCATACACACTCCTGGTGCTGGGGGTTGGGTGCCCAAGGACAGATTTCTACCGGGGAGATGCTTGTGCTGATGTAACATCTGCTGAGGCCTTGAAAACTTTGGTGTTTTGCAAGGTGTGTGAAAGAACCTTCTTTCTTTCTCCTTCCTTCCTTCCCTCCTTCCCTCCTTCCCTCTCCCTTCCTTCCTCTCTCTCTTTCTCTCTCTCTCTCTCTATTCCTTCCTTCCTTCCTTCCTTCCTTCCTTCCTTCCTTCCTTCCTTCGAGTGAGCCAGAGAGAGGGGGCAGAAAGAGACAGGGAGAGAGAGAGAGAGAGAGAGAGAGAGAGAGAGAGAGAGAGAGAGAATCTCAAGCAGGCTCTGCACTGACACAGGGCTTGAATTTGCAAACCATAAGATCATCACCTGAGCCAAAACCAAGAGTCAGATACTTAACTGACTGATCCACCCAGGGGCCCAGAGCCTTCCTTTTTTAAAGATGCAGTGTTTCTGTAAATGCCTAGGAATAGAACATATACAGCTTTGCCTTAAGAATTTGCAAATACATGGGGCGCCTGTTTGGGCTAAAACACTTCCTTGTACATTATTTCGTTTAATCCTTACGACCTCCCTGTAGGTTTGGCATTATTATCTCCACTTTGGAGATGAGCCTGCAACTCAGGGAGGGAAAGTGACTTTCCCAGTGTCACATAGCCGGTGAGTGGCAGAGCCACTCTCCCACCACCCACAGGACTTTGTGAGCTGCCCCTGGCCCGCCTGTACCAAGTGTATGTTCACATTTCTCTCAGAGATGCCGTTGGCCTTCTCTGCCTGGGAGATCGTCTTCCCTCCGCCTCTGCCTCCTCCTCCTGTACCCTCCAGCCCAAAGTAGTTCTAATCCAGGTGTGTCTTACCCCCTCAGCATCCCTTCGTCAGCAGTGTCACCAGTAACAAGGCTCTGCGGGAGCTGGTGGCTGAGGCCAAGGCCGAAGTGATGGAGGAGATCGAAGATGGCCGCGAGGAGGGGGAAGAGGAGGACTCCATTGATGCCGCGTCTGTAAGGCCTGGAAGAACGGGCGCTGGGGAAGGATGGGATCCCAGCAGGCCTTGGCTGGTATGAGAGGGAACGTGCTGGGGTGCAGGAAGGATTCCTGTTCTCCCACGGCTTAGAGGCTACAGGCTCCCGTATCGCAGGTTACGTGAGTCGGCTCACGGGCCGGGGTGAGGCAGCAGAGTGTATTGGCCAGATTCTGTAAGTTTTCAGGAAAGAGCAGTAATCTGGATTTTCACTTGGGACCTTCCAATTTTCAAAAGTTGGTAGCTGAGTCATTACTTCCCAGCCTTTTTCCTGTTGTGGCTCACATACAAAATGAAAATGTTTTAGCACACTGTGGGGTAAATGCAGATAAAGGCTGCACGTGACCGGAGGCAACAAGCCGAGGGGCTCCGGGTACCCCAGACAGACCCTGTTTGGCTTCTCACGTGCCCAGGGGACCCATGTCTTGGCACATTTGCAACCCATCTGCAGCTTCAGCACTTGGCTGAATTTAAGTTTAAATTAAAGCTAATTTAAAATTTTAAAAACATCCGAGCCAAGCAAAACATGTCCGTGGGCTGGATTCAGTCCTGAGCTGCCGCTTACAACCCTGGTCTAAGCTGTTTGGGAAGGGCCTCTTCCAAGAGGGAAACTTGAGGTGCAGGTGGTGTTGTGGACCGAGTGAGGCAGGGGCTGGCCTTGTCTAGAGGGAATGGGCAGTACGGTGCTGTCTGGAGGTTAACGGGATCCTGGGAGGAGCCAGAGGCTGGTGTGAATCCTTACTAGGGTGAAGAAGGGAAGACCGAGGAGGACGAGCAGAACCAGCACAGTAGCCACAGCCTTTTACTGAGCCCTTGCTGCGTGCTGGGCACTCTGCAACTCTGATAGGAGGACCAGGGCTCCATTTAATAGATAGGAAGACTGAGGTCCGAGCAATGAAGTGGCTGGTTGAGCTGATAGGAGGCACAGCCAGGTGTAGGAGAACCATGGTGGGAGAGGGAGGTGGTGGGTCTGGGGCCTGGCTTCAGGAGGTGGCAGCAGGCAGCGAGGTTGGGGAGGGAAGCAGCAAGCAGTTACGCTGGCGGGTTCTCTGCAGGTAGGAGGCTGTTCCTTGTCATGAGGGCGGTGGGGCTAATGAGGGTTTCAGGCAAAGACATTGGTGTGGGGATGATAGGATCAGATCTGAATTTCTGAACCATCACCCTAGGGGTGTTGAATAGGAGGTGGATTAGAGTTGCTTCTGGAAGCTTCCATATCCAAGGTTAAAAACCAGCGGCCAGTGGGATCCAAGGGAGTGCTAATGGTGTGATTCCATTAATATCTAAAACCCAACAAACTCACTTGTAACACTTAGAGATCAATGTCAGGACAACTATTATGTTAAGGGGAGGGACAGACATGGAAGGGGGGTCTCTCTGGTGGGCAGTGTTCCATTCCTGATGTGGAAGGCGGCTAAGTGGGTGCTCACTTTGTTCATTCATCAGACATTTATGTTTTATTCGCAGAACTGGGTGTTGTATTTTACAATAGCAACATTTCCAGTACTTTCCACCCCTCTCCCCAAAGAAAAAGCTCTAAAGAAAAAACAAAACAAAACTTTAAAAACTCAGTGGCCGATAGGCTGAGTCCAGCCCCTGGATAGTTTGGGTTTAGTTTTTACGCAGCTAAAGAAACAAAAAACTGGAATTAGTTGCCGTCGGAAAGTCAGAAGGTGTCAGGTAAAAATCCGGATTCCAGCTTGTTTTAAAACAGTTGGAAGGTCTGTCCACAGGGGAGCCATTTTTCTTATATTGTTACAATTAGCTGCAGCAGAGTAGCCACTGGCACCTTTAGACAGGGCATCAGCTGTCCAGCTGGCCACAGTTGCCTCCAGTCCTAGGAGGAGAAGCGGGCACCAAACTAACTCACAATAAGTAGTAATTTTATTGTTGGTTGGCCGGTAGGGAGTGGTGAGGACTGTGGCTCACTGGAGAGGGATACCTCCTCTGCTTCCTGGGTCCTGGCCTACTTGACCTCGTGGGTGTCTGCCTCTCCAGCCCTACTGCATCTTGGACTCCGGCTTGGGACATGCCATCGCATGGCCTTGACTTGTTTTTTTTTTTCTTCCCTAGCCTCTGGGGAACCATACTCGAGACTCTTCTGAGGTGAGTCAGCTGAGTCTCAATACCGACAAGCTTCTCAAAGAATCATCTTTCACCTCACTGCCGCCCAGCCAGCCCCAGGACAACGTGAATGGGGCCAGCCAGCCCTCTGGGGACAGATCCCCCCAAAGCGCCAGCCCCCCGGACGTGGCTCCTGGAGACGAGAATGGCCTGGCAGTGCCAGCACCTCTCCGGAAGTCCCGGCCAGTGTCCATGGATGCCAGAATTCAGGTTTCCGGGGAGAAGCAAGTTGCTGACCAGGGCGGGGACCTCAGTCCAGCAGCCAACAGGTCCCAAAAAGCCATCCAGAGCCGTCCCAACAGCAGCGCCCTGGAGACCTTGGTTGCCGAGAAGCTGGCCAATGGCAGCCTGGAGCTCCCCACCCAGGCAGCTCTGGGCCCTTCCAAGAGGGACTCGGACTGTGGCAGCCTGTCCACCAACCAGAGCGTGGACTACAGCACCTCCCTCTCAGCCGACCTGTCCCTAAACAGAGAAACAGGCTCTCTGTCCGTCAAGGTAATGCCACCTCTTGTACCGCAGTCTGCGGGCTGTGCTGCTGCCCGGGCTTGGTTTTTGAAAGCGTTTAGCTGGTGGCTGCCTTCCATCTTAAGTGGTTCGTGACGATGGCTTTTCTTGAAAGATCTTTGAGCTCCAGCTCATAGTTTAATCTCCAGAATATCTGGGTTCAGTCTGGGATTTAGTCATGCCAGGTGGTTGGTTCGATTTGTGTAGCCATTTCAGTTGGGTTCAGTTAAAGGCCCGGGTGAAATTCGGGAGAGAAGTCTAGGAATGAAGTTCTCTTATTTTGGGGTCCGCCGTGTGGTGCAGCTGCTGACTGGGAGATTTGGTTATTGGGAGTGGGCTCAAGGTGCTCTGTGGGGTCAGTGGCCTTTCTGGACGTGGGTAACATCGTGAATGGCAGCAGCCACTGTGCTTAAGGCCTCAGCATGGAGGCCAACACCGTGAAGCGCTTTAAAGAAAACGGAGGTTCCATTTCTCAGTGTACAGATGAGCAAACGGATGCTTAGGTGGGAAGTGGAGGGCTGGTGAGACCCACGGACTTTGTGCTCTGAACCCCACATGCCGTTCTGCTTTCCCAGTGCAAGGCTGGCCACCTCCCCAGGGTGAGCTGACCCCTCCCCTGCCTGCTCTGATACATGTCAGGGTGTTCTTGAACTTACTGTTGGCCACTTGACTAGGCCACACTGAGGATCTCCCCCAAGCAAGGCTGATTTTAGGGAAGATACTGTATCATTTGGTTTTTTTCTCCCATTGTTTACTTGGTGGAAACCACACAGTAGAGACTCCAAAATATTTGCTAAATGAAAGGAAGTGGAAGAAGGAAAAGCAGCTGGCCAGCCCAACAGTTAGCCTCAGGACCAGAAAGATAGCATGGTTCTAACACGTCACCAGGACAGGCACAGACATACACGGCTCTTCTACACACATAGCATCAGGGCCCATCATCTTCCTTCAGACAGATGTGCTGTCTCTTCTCTAGTTAAAAAAAAAAAAAACAAAAAACAAAAAACAAACACTAAGAAAAAACAACAACAAAAAAGGTAATTAAAAAAAAAAGGCCAGAGCAGGGTCTCCCCTGCCTGTTCTCAAGGGTGTTGAGAATATTCCTTTGCTGGCTGACTGGCAGTGAGTCGAGGAACGCGGCTGTGCTGATAAAAGTCCATGGGCTGCATCAGCACACCTTGGTGAGATGAAGGGCTTGTTACCTCGGGGGCAGGGGGCCCTGTGATCAGGTTTTCAGGGTGAGGGCTGTAGCCCCAGACCACCTTTCTTCCCAGCCGCTCCCCATTTCTCAACGCTAGTCTTGGTTGGGCCCTAGGACATGTGACTGTAGCAAGATGAGAGTCAGGTGTGGCTGATGGGAACAGGTGGAAGCCTTGGGGTGGGGGTGGGGGGAGCCGAGCCCTCAGGGGGTAAGGACCATCCGCTGGTCCTGGCTGAGCAGAAGTGGGGGTTCAGCGCACGCTTTGAGGGTGCAGAGACCTATGGCAGGGTGCCACCCTGGCCTGCCCTCCTTTTTCTGGCTACAAGGCCCTTGGAAGCCAGTGGAGGTCAGAGGGGGAGATGCCATGATGACTCCAGCTGCAGGCCCACGGGCTCTCAGTTGAATCAGGACACCTCCAGGAGTCCCAGCAGCATTTTGTGAGTGCTTGCGTCTGAAATGTGTGGTTATTCACAGGAAAAGGTCATGAATAATTTCATGGCTCGGATGGGCGTGGCCTCCTGTGGAGTTCAGGTCAGCTCAGGTTTGGCTTCCAAAACAGTTATGAACTTCAGTTTGCCAGGCTGTTTGGATTTTGGCACTTTGGGTAAAAGATTGTGGTCTACGGTAATAACTGTGAGCTATAAATACCAACGTACTGCACAATTACCATGAGCTGGGCTCTGTGCTGTGTCCCCCATGCATTCTCTCACTGTACCTTTGTAACCATCTTGGGCGAGGCAAGTACTGCTGTTCTCTTCCTCTGACAAGTTGAGGAAGCTGAGGCTTGGACAGGACAAGGGACTTGTTCAGAGTCACAGAGCCAGTAGGTGGTAGAGGGAAGATTGGAACCCTGACCATTCTGGTGCCATGTCCTGTATGTGAGTGTGCTGGCAGCCAGGTGTGGGGCCAGCAAGTAGTATCCGAAGGCCAAGATCAGGGGGATCGGGGTGGGGGGTGGTAAGCCCAGACACTCAGGACCCCAAGTTGAGAAGCTTGAGGCAAAAGGGGGATGATGGACAGCTATGTCCTATCTGGACGTTGAGGCTGTGGGGCCAAGAAGGCTCTGCGCCACACTCCTGTGTCACCCACAGATTCCTAGCTGATCCTGAGCTTTACTTAATGGTTTTACCCTGCCCAGGACTCAAGGCTGCACAACAAAACCCTCAAGAGGACACGCAAGTTTGTGGTGGATGGCGTAGAGGTGAGCATCACCACCTCCAAGATCATCAGCGAGGATGAGAAGAAGGATGAGGAGATGCGATTTCTCAGGCAAGCCTGGGAAGGGCCAGTGATGGCTGTAACAGAGTGGGGGTGTGGTGAGAGGGAAGGGTGTAGGTTCCTTTGGTTAGGGAGCTATGTACAGCTCTGAAGTAAGGGATCGGGACATAAAAGGAAACTGGTTTTGCTCCTGTACTTCCCAATCCACTCAACCATCCATCTGCCCACCCACCTATCCATTCATTCACTCGCCTGCCCATACATTTACCTGTTCACCCACTCATCTACCCACCACCCATCCACTCACCCACACATATCCATCCACCACTTATCTACCCACCATCCACCACCTACCCATCCACTTACCCATCCATCTACCTATATCTATCCACCCACTCATCTGCCCACCATCCATCCATCCTCCCACCCATGCATCCACCTACCCATCCATCCATCTGCTCACCTACCCATTCATCCACTCACTTACCCATCTAGTCACCCACCTACCCACCCACCTTTCCATCCATCTACCCACCTGCCCATCCATATACCCATCTACCCATCCATCTACTCATTTACCCATCCCTCCACTCATCTACCCACCCATCCATCAGTCCACCTACCCATGTAGTTACCCACCCACCAGGGTGGGGTATATGGTGGTGACCCAGATAGCTGAGGCTGTTGCCATTGTAGAACTTGGACCGAATGGGCCAACACAGGATACACAAGATAATCCGCAGTAGTGGTACACGCCGTGAGGGAAGTAGTGGGTGATAGGACAGCAAGCCCTGGGCTGGCGGAGGCTTCTCTGTGTGTGGGAAACAACTTGAGTGGGGTGGCTGGGGGAGCACAGAGGGGCCTGCGAGGCTAAGGCCCAAGCAGTGACTGCTGGGCTTATTTAAGGAGCTGAGACGATAGGGCTGGAGTGTGGAATGTGAGGGCAGAGGTCACGTGGGCCTGTGGGCCAGGGTGGAGGAGTGTTGATTCTGTCCCAGGCACAGCCAGAATGAAACAGCTGGAGAGTGACTGGCTCTCATGTCCCTTTTGAAAGATGGCTCTGGCTGCTGTATGAGTGTGGGCTGTAGAGGGGCAAGGTGGACTTAGGGTGACAGGGAGACCCCGTCCAGGACAGTTGGGTTGTAGGCTTGGGCTGGGGCAGTGACCAAGAAGAGGGAAGAAGTGGTCAGTTCAACATGCATTTTGGAGGCAACAGCACTGAGACTGGTGAGGCGGGGAGAGTGTGAGGCACAGCTATCTGCTGTGAACCATTTCTGCACTTTGGAGGTGCTCAGGCCCCCTAACAGCCTTCCATGGGGAGACCCTATTCCCCCCATTTTGTAAATGACAAAACAGTGTTTTTTGGCAGGTAAGTACTTGCCCCGGTTCACTCAGGTGCGAAGGTAGAGCTGAGATTCTAACTAGACCCATGTGAAGATTCTACCAGGCTTCCACTGGACTGGAAGCTTCCTGGGGCTGCCAGGGAGAGGCTTAGCTCCCCCTGGAGCTCCCTTGGGGCCAGGCCTTTGCAGGGTAAATTCATGATTAGTTTGGAGAACATTTCTAGAATGTCAGACACATTGATACTTATAAAAAGCACAAGCATTCCAAAGCCAAATGGAAGCGGTTTTGGATGCTCTGGGGTACTTCCCCCTCTAGGGACCACAGAGATGAAATGCTGCCTTTTCATTAGTGGTGTTTCTGCACGAATACACATACACGTGTACACACACACACACACACACACACACACACACACACACACACACAGAGTCATCCTCATCATGTGGGCTGGGGAAACTCAGGCAGGGGGTGGGAGGATGGTTGCTTTTGGAGGATGACACCACCTTCCATTTTCACAGTCACCTGGGAGACAACCTGTCTCCTAAGTGTCAGACCTCACTGGCTGAGTTTCCTTTCCATCATCTCCGGTTTGGGCTTCTGGGTTGACATTCTAGATCCACCATACCCCATCTAGAATGGATGCCCTCTGGCCCTGGCTGGCTGTGTGCTGCTCAGGTTTGAAAGGTGAGACTTCGCAGAGGTTGAGAAGCTTTTCTTATTTGCCTGTCATGGTCCAGAGGGCTGAGTGTTCCAAATATCGAATACCAACCCCCCCCCCCCCCCCCAGCCTTGCTCTGCAGGGGTGCGGAAGGCTCTCATTGTTTCCTGGCTGGCAGTCCCCGCCTCCTTCCCCTCCCCCCTTGTCCCTGTAATACCTGGATTCGAGGATTTCCAGAGGATTGGGTCACACACAGGCTTTTGAACCATGTGATCAGATATTCACTCTCCCAGGTTGAGGCTTCTAGGTCAGAGTTTTTCCTGTTTTTCCCTAAGATTGCCAGTGCCAATGCCCGCCTTAAGAATCAGCCTGTCTCTTGTCCTGCCTTCCCTTGTGAGAACTCAGGTGGGGCAGGGAGGTAATGTTAGAACCTGGCTGCCCACCTTCTTTTGTATGCCTTTGCTCTTTGGTCAGGTGTTCTCTGAGTCAGTTTCTCTGGAGTCAGGATTTCTATTTCTTCATTAACACTCTCAACCCTATCACTGCCCCAAGAGCAGAGGCTCGGATGGAAGCTTCCTTATGTGGCTATTTTGCCTCTTCTTTCTCATGCTCACTCCAGCAGCTCCCACTTAGTTTGTTAGTAACAAACTTAGCACGTTTTACCTCTTAGTTACCATGTTGGCATTATCTGCGGTAGACATCTGCACATTTTACAGATGACGGAACAGGGGCCTAGAGTTTGAGTGACTGACTGAAGGCGCCCAGCAGAAAGTCAGCAGAGCTACGATTCAAACAAGGTCCCTCCTGAGGGGCCACCAGGGAGTCCTGATGCATAGTCAGGAGGTCCAAGTTCCTTCTGCATCATTTTCTTTTCTTTTTTCTTTTATTATTTTTTAAATGTTTATTTATTTTTGAGAGAGAGACCACAAGTGGGAGAGGGCAGAGACAGAGGGAGACACAGAATCTAAAGCAGGATCCAGGCTCTGAGCTGTCAGCACAGAGCCTGACGCAGGGCTCGAACCCACGAACTGTGAGATCATGACCTGAGCCGAAGTCAGAAGCTTAACCAACTGAGCCACTCAGGAGCCCCATCATTTTGTTTTCTGATGACATAAATGATATATACCAGTCTTTAATGGATTTGTCCAGAAACACAATTAACGCTTTCAAGTTTATCCTGCAATTATTTTTTTCTGTGAATAAACACATGTACACATCACCAATAATGTGATATAAAATTAAGGTCTATTATGTGGTTCAGGTCAGGTTTTTATTATATTTTGAATAGGTAATATAATATCATGGTTCAAAATTCAAAAAAACAACAAAAAAGGAGAGGGTAAACTGTGAAAAATATCCCTCCCTTTTCTGCCAGCAACCAGTTCCCCTATCTGTGTTACTATTTTATGTAAAATTTGATTTTTTTTCATGGTTGTGTATACAAAATTAACATCATGTGGATACCAGATGCATACATTTTGATTTATTTAATTAGACATAGATAATGGACATTTAAGTCATTTCAAATTTTGTGCTATTCTAAATAATTTTGTTATGGGTATCCTTATTCAGTTGTGCTGTGCATCTATAAATATTTCTTCAGAATTAATATCTAGAAATGGAAATACTATGTTAAAAGGCATGAACTTATTACCAAACTGTCTGCCAGAAATGTACCAATTTATACTTATGAGCAGGTTATGAAAGTATCAACTTCCCCTATAGTCTAGCCTTTTTAATGAAAACAGAATTTTTAATTTGCATTTCATATCCATATTAGGTAAATTTAAATTTTTTTGTTTTTGTTTTTTGGTTCATGTCTACTTATGTTTTGTGTCCCTTTTTAAATTAAAAAACATTTTTTTAAATGTCTATCCATTTTTGAGAGGGGAGGGCGGGGGAGGGACAGAGAAAGAGAGAGAGAGAGGAGACCAGAATCCAAAGCAGGCTCCAGGCTCCGAGCTGTCAGCACAGAGCCTGACACAGGGCTCAAACCCACGAACCACGAGATCATGACCTGAGCCAAAGTTGGGTGTTCAACCGATTGAGCCACCCAGGCGCCCCTTGTGTGCCTTTTTAAAAGTAGGCTGCTCCTGTTTTTCTTATTGATTTGTAAGGACTCTTTATACGTTAAGATTATTAATGTTCTGTCAATAAATGTCAAATTAAGCCTGAGTTCTAGTCCTGCCTCTGCCCCCAGACTTCTGTGATGCCGTTCCACACTCCAGCCTTCAGTGTCTCTGGCTATGAATTATGTGCCCTCTGAGGCGGGCCACTTTCTGACTGACATGTCCGCATCCTTTAACCCTTCAGGCGCCAGGAGCTCCGAGAGCTTCGGCTGCTCCAGAAAGAAGAACACCGGAACCAGACCCAGCTGAGCAGCAAGCATGAGCTGCAGCTGGAGCAGATGCATAAGCGTTTTGAACAAGAAATCAACGTGAGTGTGAGGACAGATGGGTCCCTGGAGGGCTTCTTGCCTCCATGTTTTCTTTAGGGGCAGGAGAGAGACCGGTTCCTTTGGTTTCTTGGTCTCCTGGGCCACTGACTCATAAACACAGGATCTCATGAAGGTCACAGAGCTCCTCTGAGTCACAGAGGAGGACCTCTAGAGGGAGACCGACCTTTGCCGAGCACCATGGAAGAACTCTGCAAGGCAGATGGTCTGGCCTCCCTTTTGTACAGAGGCAGCAGAGACTCTGGTTAAATGACTTGCCCCGGGTCGTACAGCAGAGAGGTGTAGAGCTGGGATTCAGGCCCCGGTCTGAAGATAAACTCTGGGCTCTCCCCATCTTGCATCCCATCTTCCTCCCAGGTATAAAGAGACTTTGCTCAGTTTCTCCTTCTACTCCTTCCAGGCCAAGAAGAAGTTCTTTGACACCGAGCTGGAGAACCTGGAACGCCAGCAGAAGCAGCAGGTGGAGAAGATGGAGCAAGACCATGCCGTGCGCCGCCGGGAGGAGGCCAGGCGGATCCGCCTGGAGCAGGATCGGGACTATGCCAAGTTCCAGGAGCAGCTCAAACTGATGAAGAAGGAGGTGAATATGTGCTGGGCGGAGGCCAGGGGCTCTAGGACGCAAGCGATCGAAACCCCAGCTCAGTCCTGCTTCAGCAACAGAGGAGACTCTGGGGAGCTCATGTATCTGAAAAGCTCACGTCCACGTGTCGGGATTCATGTGCTCCAGCTGCGTCATGAGGAGCTACTTCTCTGTCATTTGGGCTCTCCTTTCCTGTGTTGACTTGGCTCCCAGGCAGCTTCCTGTATGTCGTCCCAGCTCAGCAACCCCAGCTGAAAGAGAGTAGGGGAGGAGGAAGGGCTGGCAGCCCAGGGGGATCTGAGATGCTTTCACCAGAGCAGGGGAACAGGTGCCGGGTGGCAAACACAATACGTCTTCTGTGCCCTGCCCTCTCTTCTCCCAAAACAACAGTCCCCTAGTTGGGACCCATGTGGCTCTTCTCTTTTCTCTCCCAACTGAAGAGGTGGGGGGGGGGGGTAGGTGACAAAGAGGTAGATGGTCCCAAGACAAGGGGAGGGTGAGTCTCCTAGCCTGCCCTGGGGAAGGGCATCTGGGTCCCAAATAACAGCTCACACCTCCCTCTGTGGAGCCTGGGACATACTTACTAGGCCACTCCCAGTCTTCAGACAAACAGCTTCTAAGGGTGGTCCGTGGTGCTGCAGGCTTCAGAGCCCAGCTCCCAGACTGCAGTCTATGGGGGTGACATTTTTTTTTTTTT